GTTCAGGCAGCTGGGAGCCCTAAAGGAGGCTTCCCAGACTCTCAGACGGTGCCAAGAAGCAGGAGTCCCGGTGGCAAAACCCCCCTCGTGGCCACTGCACTGGTGTGTGTGCGTGCGCACACACCGACGTACAGAGGTACCCTGGCATGGGCTCAGCCTCCCCAATCTACCCTCGGGGTCATCTCCATCCCCTCTCACAGGCCCTTTCTCTGCTCCACAAATGTTTAGGCTCAGGCAGAGAAAGAGAGAGAGAAAAGGATTCTTTATTTATTTTTATTTTTACAAATCTGGGACCACCCTGTAGCATGGCCCTGACCAGGGCTCTGAAAACCAGAGGCGCAGCAGCAGCTAAGCCAGGACAGCTTCAGCAATGTCAAGTGCACTGCAAGAGTATCTCCCTGCCTCCCAGTTCTTTATCTCCAGAGTTTCAGGAAGTTCAAGGGATCCAGGACCAGCCTGAGAAGAAGAAGGGAGAAGATGGAAAGAGGTGGGAGAAAGGAGAGGTAGAGCAGAAGACAGAGAGGTGATGGAAGAGGGAGCGAAAGAGAAGAAGTGGGAGGAAGAGGAGGCAGACCGGGAGGGGAGGACTCCCACCTGAGGTTACGCAGCCCGGTTCCTGCCGTTCTCAGGGGGGTCTTTACCTGGAGAACTGGAATCCTAGGCAATTCATTTTTTTTTTTCTGGAAAAAAATTAAAACCCTCCATTTTCCTTTCCTCCTATTCCGGTTTGACCAGATATTTCAAGGTCATGCTGAGAAGAGCACGACTTGGTCAAAGAAGAAAGAACACAATTGAAGGTCAGAGGAAGAGGTGCTTGGTTTTCAAGAGTCCGTGTCTTTCTATTCCCCAGAGGAATTTGGGGACCTGAGGGCACCCTTGGGAGGGGCTTTGTTCTTGGAGCCCCTTGTTCGGGTCCCCTCCCCCCCATACACACACACACACACACACACACCCTTCCTCTCCTTAAAGATAGAATCCGTTGGAAGCCTAAACCCCTAGTTTTCCAAGTGGAGCCCCAAACCCTTTAAAGGAAGACTTCCTGGGTAATCGCTTGCACAGGGGCCTGAAACTAAGAGTGTCCAGTCCCTCGGGTGAAGAAAAGGGGCCCACTTGGCCACTTGGGAGGTGATGAGATAGGAGACCCCCCCCCGCCCCCGCTTCCTCTCAGCGCTTCCATCTGGGGAGACAGGGGAGGAGAGAGGGCAACTCAACCCTGGGTGTCCCTGCTCCAGCATCCTAGATCCTCCAGCATCCTTTTCTTCCCTTTGATTGGGTTAGGATGGTTCAGTGTGGAAGCCTGGGAGGAAAGATTCCCATGAGCATTGTTGCCTGCGGGTGGGGGTAGGGGTGGTGGTGGTGTTTGTGTGTACGGGGAGAGAAAGAGACTTGGAAGCAAGCAGGGAGAGGTGGAGGTCGGGGACAAGTGCCCCAAACGTCCAAGTCAGGCAGCCCTCGAAAGCGAGAGTTATTCCTAGGGGTTGGGGGCGGGGGAGGGGGTGGCTTGGTCCCAGAAATGCACCTATAAATATAGCGCAGGCGGAGAGGACTCTGCCCAGCCCCTTGTGGACCAAAGGATCCGTCCATCCCAGGATTCAGGTCTGAGTTACAGCCCAGACAGCAGCAGAGGCCCGCGCATGCCTCAGGAAACCATGGAGATGAGGAGGGGGTGGACAAGACAGTCTGAGAGGAACCCGCTGGGGAGACGTCAGGGAGGAAAAGGCAAAACAAAACGTGGTGGGGAGAGCGGTCCGCAGACTGGTGGGGCGGGGGGGAGGGAGGGAAGCCGGAGGGGTGAGGCCGGGAGACCGAGACACACAGCCAGGGAGGGGGAGGAAGGAGAGAGGGGGTGAAGGGCCACTGGGAGAAGTTTCCAGGCCAAGTCCAGCCCAGCTCTGGCAATGTGGACCGGAGCCCCTCCACCTCACTTCACCGAGACCAGGTCTTAGGAGCTGATGAATGACCGCCCTGGGAGGGAATTTGGGCCAAGGGTTAGTAAGGGGGGGGGGGAAGAGAGGCAGGGGAGTCGCTCTCCCCCTCCCCAGCTGCAGCCGACCCAGTCCCCAGGTGAATCCCCTTTTCCCCCAGCTGGATGTGAAATCGCCATTTCACCCCGCCACACTTCTTAATTGTTGCAAAAATCATTTGTGAAATTGGTCTCCAACAGGCTCGAACTGCTTCACTCATTCCGACAGGCACCCCCCCACCATCTCCATGCCTGCTTCATTTCCCCCTGCACTGGCCCAGCCTGGGGCCCTCAGACTCCCCAAGCCTGTTGCCCACACTGAGGAGGGGGGCTTGGGGGAGCCCTGTCACCACGGGAACAACTGAAGGGGGTGGAGGATGGGCAATGCACCAGGTGGCCCCAGTGCAGAATGCCTGAATGGACTCTGAGCCTGGGTGACCAGCTGCCTGCCCATCCGGCTGGGCTGCAAAGTGCCTGTACCTTCCAGGTTTTCATACTGGGAAAGAGATCAACCACACACTCACCTTCCTTCCAGAGTGAGACCCAGGCAACCTGGTGTGACTCAGACACACAGGAGGGAATGTCCAAAAGGGGACGTCGAAAATGCAACCAGGAGATGCACTTGTTTTGCAAAAATGTTGGAAATGCATGCCTGCTTCTTCCAGGATATTCATTTCCCAGAAACTTTTCAAAGATTCCTTTAATGCATGCATTCAATCTTTTTTTTTGCTTTCCTTTTTTCGCAACGAAGTAAACTTGAATTCCATGGGCTTTTTTCGGTTCCTTGGTTTTCATATACGTGTGTGTGTGTGTGTGTGTGTGTGTGTGTGTGTACACCAGTTGTAAACTAGCTCTGTAGTTAGTGCTGTCCAGACATAACCCTCTCCCAGTGAAGTGTGTAAGGTGGGGTGTGACCATCTTCCCTGGACACACAGACTCTGGTTCAAAGTTTTGTCCTCTAACACCTGTGGGGGTGTGAGGGGAGAAGGTTATGATGCAGACAGCCCAGCAGCTGGAAGGTAAGCACCCCACTCCCATTGCCTCTTCCTATCCTAAAGCCTCTTGGCCCGGCCCTTTCAAGTTCTACAGCTATCAGAGGGTGAGTGGAACAGGTTTTTTCCAACAGGGCCCTCATTCTCCCCCCACCCCCAGCAACCAAAAGTCTAATGAGTCCCTGGTGCTAGGAGAAAAGGGGTCTGTCACACACTGACAAGGGTCACTGGCAGAGAGAAGCGGAGGGACCCGGGAGCTCTGCTGTAGGAGAGCCCGAGGCCGGCAGGGAGAGGGCGGACGCTGAGCGGATGCGATTGGATTTTTGCTTCCAGTGCTGGGCTTTTGGAGGGGGGGACGGGGACAAGAAAAGGGGGGGTGGGGACAAAAGGCCAGCGGTCGCGGCGTCCTGCCCCGCTGGGAGGGCGTTCCCGCCTCCCCGCTGCCCCAGGACTCCCTGTCCCCCGGCGGAGGCTACGGTCACTTGGACTTCCAGCCTCCGAGCCTCCGAGAGCTGAATTGTTGGGAGCTCTGGTGATCACACACACAGCTTCTGATGACCTGACGGGGCACCCCCTTCTGGTAGCCACCCCTGGGGACCTCGTAGGAACCGGCCAGCTCCCTCCTCACGCCCGGTCAGCTCTGGAGCCCCGGCTGGGTCCCCAGATACCAGCAGGAAAAGAGGTCCGGGGCTGTGGTTGAGGGTTTGGGGTGGATATCAGGGAGGCGGTGTCCGCACCGGCTGCAGGTGGGCCAGTGCGGGAGCAGAGCCAAGGGAAGATGCGGTGGCCAGCTCCGAATAGACCACATTTTCCAAATCTCTTTGGGAAGGCCGTGTCCCGGGAATCTCAGAGTCAGGGGAAGCCAGCCTGGAGCCGGACAAAGTTGCAGACCCGCCCTGCACCCTCTCCGTCTGTCCCCCCGGGGAGAGCCACTCTCAGAGCCCGCAAGCACGCGGTGCGGGAGAAAACGAAATCGGGCGGGCCGAGCCCCTTTGGAAGCCAGGGCCGGGGTGCGAGCGCCCAGAGACCCCTGTGGCCACCGCGGTCCTGGAACCGCGCGGTCGGGGACGCGGGGACGCGGCCCCCTGGACGTCTGCTTGGACCCAGTGGGGACTCCTGCCTCCCTCCTCGGCACCTAGCACTCCGCGGGCTGCACTTGCCCCGTCGGCGCGGCCAGTTCAGATTCTTCCCCCAAAACGAGGTCGAGCCCGGGATTTAAAAAAGAAAAAAGAAGAAAAGAAAACTCGTTGGCGATTTTTTCTTTATTATTCGTGATTGGTCTTACGGTCCCTTCTGCTCAGGCCCCCTTCCCTCCTCATGAATAAAAGAAAAGTCCGAACCTATCAGATCTCGTTGACCGCCTCCTCCTCCTCCTCCTCCTCCCCCACCTCCGGACTTGAGCACTTTTGCACAATTTACCCAACGGATCACTTGCGTCCCCTCGCTTCTCCTCTTCTTTCCCCGCAACCCCGGCCCTCCCTGGCGCCTACCCACGAACCCCGAGCCCGGAGCCGGCAGGCACCTTCTTCCTCCTCCCTCCTCCTCCTTCTCCTCCAGTTGTCCCAGAGATCCGGGAGCGTAAGCTTTGAGCCTGGGAAGCCTCCCCGGGCGGTCCAGGGTGCCGAGGGAGGGCGCGAGGAGCGAGGACTCCCAATACAGATATAAACTCGACCGTGTACCCAGAGCGGCGGCCTCGCGCCTCCCAAACTTAGGTTGTCCAGCCCGCGCCCACCAGGGGCCCTCGGTGCCCGGTGCCCGGTGCCACCTCTGCCGAGCGCCCGAGCGCGCGCAGCCCACGGCCGGCCGAGCCCAGGCGGCGGCCTCGGGGCCCTGGCGAGCGTTTGTTTGTGTGAACTTCCTCGTCGCCACCTTCCCTCTTCCCCGCCCTCGGCCCCCCAGCCTCCGCCCCCGCCTCCCCCCTCGGAGCTCCTGGCCGCGTCCGACAGCAGCCGGGGCTAGGGGGTGGGGTAGGGAGGGAGTGGGTGTGCAGGGGAGGGGGAAGAGGTTGGGGAGGGGGGGGGGAAAGAAGGAGGAAAGAAAGAAAGAGCGCAGCAGGGGTAGAGGGAGCGGACGGGCAGCGCCTTCTGCCGACTCCGGACGCATCCCCGGCGTGCGCAGGAATGGCTGCCCTTCCCGGCGCCGTACCGAGGATGATGCGGCCGGCTCCGGGGCAGAACTACCCGCGCACGGGATTCCCTCTGGAAGGTAAGCGCCGCCCGGCGATCTTACCTCCGCTCGTCCGCCCGCTGCTCCGGGGCCTGCGAGCGGCGGCAGCCGGGAGAGCTCCCTGCTCTCCTGGGTGAAGTTTCTGGGACCCACACTAGTCCGCGTCCCCGTGGGGTTCACCCCGCGAGCGGAGCGGGCGCGGCTGGCCTGCACCTCCCGCTTGGAGCTCCCGGCCGACAGGGGCGAGGTGCGGGGGCGATCCCGGTACTTGGCGGGTCCCGGTGCGTTTCTGTGCTTCCCATATACTTTTCGCCTGGCACTTTGTCGCACGTGGGCCTCTCGCTCTCCCCGAATACGGGATGCTCGTCCGGTCCCTTTTATTTCGAAATTCTGACCTGTATGGTCCTTGACTAGTCTGCACTACTAAGCTATTCGCTTCCCGGCCTGGAGACAAACTAAAAAAAAATTTTTTTAAGGAAGGAAAGGAAAAGAAAAAGTAACAATATTTTTCCGTCTGCCCCCAAAAAACTTTTTCGCTTGGGCTCTGGAAGCCTCCGGGGAGAAAACGTGGCCGCGGCCGCAGGACCTGGTCTGCTGCAGACTGAGGAGGGTGTTACTTTGTAACGTGTGGCTCTCCGGGATCCGCGCCCTCCGGGCCGGGAGCACCAAGTCCCCATCCTGCGTTTGTTTGCAATCTTCTGGGACTCACGGAAAACCTCCAAACTGTCGCCGAGGGAACGTTCGGCTTCTGGGGGCGCCGCTTTGTGCTTAGACACATGTGCGATTTTATTTTTTAATGATTTCGGTTGCAGCTTTCTGAGCTCCCTCGTGCGTGCGTGCAGCAGGGGAGGGTGGGATGGCAGGGGGTGGGCGGGTGAACAGGCACGCTGGCAGGCCGGCAGGCAGCCGGCGATCCGGAGAGGAAGGGGTCCCCTCGGGCGTCGGGTCCCCGAAGGAGAGCGAGGCGCAGAGAGCGGCTCCGTGATCAAGTGCGCGCGAGCAGCCACGCAGGCGGCAGAGCGCGGCAAGCCCGGGGATTTGCCTCGGCTCTCCTGGAGCGAAAGCGAGTAAAACAGGCGGCTGAGGACGCGCGGCGGATTAGGACAATATTTGCCCAACATGACGCAGAATACTGAGGAGAGCCGAGCGCCGGTCGCTAAAGAGGCTCTTGAATATAAAGTTGGGCACTCGAGAGCTCTCCAGCGCTAATGGCATATTCCGCCACGGAGACCCAGTCACTCCGACTCGGCGCCGCAGGATTTCTGATTAAATCCGAGGGCAGCTTCAGACCCCTACTTTTACAAAGAGAGATGGGGGGGCCCGCCAGAGCGTGGGAGGGGGCGGCAGGAACAGCTCGGCCGTCCGAGCCTCTTCTCGCCTCCTGCCTTCCAATTACGCCATCAGCTCCCTCCGCTCGGGCTGCTGTGAAATCGCTCTAATCTTAGGGATCTCCGCAGCCGCTGAGTCCCCAAATTGGGGGGATCGAGGCTGGATTAGTGCACCGGGTGTCCCCCCCCAACCTTCCGTGAGGAAATTGTGTAGACTTTGCATTAAGGCGGCCCAAGCACTCTTCCCCTCCCTGATTCCCGTCGGTGGGGAAAGGAGAAGGAAGCTGGAGGTCCTGGTGGTGCCTGGCTTCCCGTTTCCCCAAATCCCCTCCACACGCCAAGACTAGGACCAGTTTGCAGGACCAGCCTTTCTGGTGGTTTCTGAGCCAGAGTGCGGCATTTGATTTAGGAACTTGCTGCCAACAATGTGTCCCCAAATTATTCCCAAAACGAAATTAGAACTTTGAGAGTGACTGCAAGCAAATGGGTCTCTAGGGGGACTGCCAGAGGTGCCCGCAGCGGCCACAGCCCTGTGCTACCAGCCCTGTGTCAAACCGCCAGGAGGACAGCACTGCTGCCTGCCCTGGTCATGGCCAGGGTGGTCATCAGCCAGTGTCATCAGCCAGGGCTCCCTGGTCTCTCTAAAGGGATCTACCTTGGCTGCTCACAGGGAGCCCTACCTTGCTAGTCCTGGGTAGGTGTGTAGGCAGTCCCAGTCCCAGTATGCAGAAAGCCTCAGCTGCTGAAGTCTGCCGCTCCAGCAGCCTTGCAGCAGCTCTGCCCACTGGACCCTCTCTGGGTCTTCCTTGCGTGTGTTTGGAGGGGAGGGTCAACGGTGGCCTTGGTCCCTGTGGAGTGGCAGGAGTTGGCGGATTCCTGCAGCTGGGACCCCTCTCATCACCCACACAGCTTCTGGTGTGGAGTCCTTCCACCAGAGCTCCCAGGGTGCCGGCCCAGGGTGCCTGACCCTGGCAGGGCTCTGCTGCTGCCTGGGGTCTGGGAGTTCAGACAACACTGGAGTCAGGGGTGTACTCTGTCCCAGCAAAGATTCACCCTGCACCTCTGTGTCTCCCTTCCCCTCCCCTCTGCAGTGTCCACTCCACTTGGCCAAGGCCGGGTCAATCAGCTTGGTGGGGTCTTCATCAATGGGCGACCGCTGCCCAACCACATCCGCCACAAGATAGTGGAGATGGCCCACCACGGCATCCGACCCTGTGTCATCTCCCGCCAGCTGCGCGTCTCCCATGGCTGTGTCTCCAAGATCCTGTGCCGCTACCAGGAGACCGGTTCTATCCGGCCTGGGGCCATCGGAGGCAGCAAGCCCAGAGTGAGTGTCTTTGCCACAGAGGCTGGCCCGTGGCCTGTGGCCTGGGCTGCTAACAACCTATCCCAATAACCCTCAAGGAATCTGTTTTCTGTAGCGAGTCTTGTGGGAGAGTGCAACTACTTCCACACAGCACTCCCCACCCCCTCTGCCATTTGTTTAAAATCCTCAGAACTGGGGAAGAATTGAGGTGTTGGGTTGGCCAAGATCTGCAGGTCGAAGAATCAACTCAAGATTGTCCCAAGCCTCCATCCCCAATCGGGATCAGAAACAGGAAGGGGGGAAGGAACTTTTGGAGATCCCAGCTGGGTTTTCTTTTATTAGCTACTTCTGCTCCCCGGGCAGCCTTTCTGGGAACCTGGAATGGGTCGCTGGAAAAGCTCAAGCCAGGCTCAGAAGGGGGGTACCTAGCCTAGGGCTCTTGGGAGGTTGATATTAAAAGTCTCTCCCTCCTCCCACCCCATCTCTCCACTCCCACCTCTGAAGCAGGTGGCGACTCCGGATGTGGAGAAAAAGATTGAGGAGTACAAGAGAGAGAACCCGGGCATGTTCAGCTGGGAGATCCGGGACCGGCTGCTGAAGGACGGACACTGCGATCGCAGCACGGTGCCCTCAGGTGAGAAGGCAGCTGAACTGGCACCGTGGCTGAGCCTGAGTCCACCAGAACTCCGGCACGCGGGACTGGAGCAGGGAGGGGACCCCAGGGCAGATAGTGGTTGAACCTGAAGAAAAGTCAGGAAGAAGAAAGTGAGGTGGGAGTGTGTTAAAACAGAGAAAGTTGAGAAAAGGATGGGGGGGGGAAGTTAGATAAGAAGCGAAAAGGAGCTGAGGAAGAAAGAACGGGGTGTGTGGGTGGAGGTAGGGGAGAGCTGGCCAAGCAGGCTGGCAGGACCAGGCGGGAAGTTAACCCAAAAGGTTATGTGATAGGGCAAGACCCTCAGGACCACCTGGAAGCCACCTAGAGAGAGGGGTCTGTCCTAGGAGAGGGCGATGCCCATAGGGTTCTCTGGACCAACTTCTTCAGGTTGCCACCACCAGCCAGCTGGTGGGTCCCCAGGTTCTCTGATGCCTCAAGCTTTCCCGTCCGTCCGTCATCCGTGAGAGGGGAAAATGACCTGTGTGTGTGTGTTTGGGGGGGGCTGTCTCCAGGTGTGTAGAGCTGGGCCACACACCTGAGTGTGTGGGTCTGAAAGGACAGGTGGGGGGATTCCTGAGGCGGGATGAGGGCTGTGAGGCTTGCGGGGGTACAGCCGGAGGCACCTACAGGTGTGCGGGAACTCGCCTAGGAATGCAGAGGAGCCGGTGGCTCCCGCAGTGTCCCAAGTGCATAAGGGCGACTGTCCTCCAGTGGGTTGCCAAAGCTAAATTGTCTGGTGGTGAAGTGAAGAGTGTAGGGGAGAAGGGCGCTTGATGACTTTGTCCCCGGGAGCTGGGATGGTGCAGGCCGCCCCTGCCCCGACTTACACGCGCTCTTTTTGACTTTGAATTTCTGAGGTTTAGTGAGTTCGATTAGCCGTGTCCTCAGAATCAAGTTCGGGAAGAAAGAGGAGGAAGATGAGGCCGACAAGAAGGACGAGGACGGAGAGAAGAAGGCAAAACACAGCATCGATGGCATCCTGGGCGACAAAGGTAAGGATGTGACCGCGGTCGGTGGGAGCCTAGCCTGCTGCGGCCTCCACGCGCCCCAGCCTGCAGGCCGCGCGCTTGGCCTCAGCTGCGTGCCACCACGAAGGAGTGGGAGGCGAGCTCCGCAGGCCGCGGAGCAGCAGCCCCTCTAGCTGGGCTGAGAGAGCCCCCCCAACCCAGGCGCTGGCGAACCACGGAGCCGGCGCCAAGGAGCCCCTGCGCCCAGGGCCCCGGCGTCCCTAGGGGCAACCGGGCTTCCAGAGCGCGCAGGGCTTCCCGGTCCTTGCACCTGAGCTCCGTGTCTGCCCGCGTACCCCGAGGTCCGAGTCCTCTGGGGCTGGCGTTTTGGCTGCTCTTCCCGGTGTCGATCAATTATTTATAGGAAACTTGGGCTAGGAGGCGGGTGTCGGGGGAAGGAGGAGGCGGCCCCGCGGCTCCCTAAATGAATTTGTTAACCGGAGCCGCACACGTTCTCTAAACAGTCCCTTGAAACCCTGCCTGACAGTTGACTGACCTCCGCAATCAATAAAAATTAGCCGGGGGCTGCCGCCTGCCGGAGTGGGGGAGTGGGGGGTATCTTCCTCTCTGGCGCACACTGTAGAGGCGGAGAGTTGAGGTCAAGTTCCCGGATGCCAAGGGTTGGAGGACCCCAGTGGGACCAAGATTCACGGGCCCCACGCCTCTGCCCGCGCTTCCTTTAGCACCGGCTCCCTGCCGCAGCAGGCAGCCTTGGGTCTGAGCCCGGCAGTCACGCCTGCCATCAGCCAGGGAGGTGTTGGCGGTAGAAAGCGCCTGCACGCGGAGGGTGGGTTGGGGAAGGGATACTGCTTTTGTGTTTGGCCCCGGGGACTTTTGGGGGGTGCCAAGCCAGCCTGCCTCTCATCCCCTCCCATTGCAATTCTCTTTGAAACTCTCTCGGTATGGACTCCAAGGGGAAGGAAAGATAGAATTGGGAGACTGGCAGCATAGAGATTGCCCCACTCCTTACGCAGGGGCCCGGAGGTGGCTGGCAGAGAGAATTGGAAAGACAGCCGCTCTGGGAACGTGCAGAGACGCGGTTCTGGACGGAGTGGAGGACTGGTCTTCCAGGGCGTTCTGGTGTCCCTTCCTGTTCTGTCCCCAGCACTCCCTAGCCCAGGTCTCTCTCTTCAGTCCTCTAATCACTCCAACCCTGAAGGTGAACGTCACTGACAAAACCTCCAGCAGCCAGGTCGTTGGGGGCAAGGACTGGGAGCCAGGCAGCCCTAGTGAGCTGAGCCTGTAGCGGCTGGGGAAGGGGCGGGCTATTGACATTCAGGGCCCCTAGCGGAGCGGAGAGGCAGTCCCGCTCGGGACAAAAGGGCAGAGGAAGAAAAGGAGCCTAGCTGTGCCTGGCACCCTGCTGTGCCCGGCCTGCTGGACGGGCCTGGGATCTGCTGGGGGAGATGGCACTGCACTACCAAGTAGCCCTTGCCCCAGCCAAGTCAGCCCTGCTGAGACCCCTGCTGAGGAGGTTGGGGGGGGGGGACAGACGACCCCCGTCCTTACTCCAGTTCCCACTGGACAGAACGGATGATTGAGTAATTTTTCCTGAGTAACTGCACAGCAGCCGGACACCTCTTCAGAGTGATCCAAGCCAGGGAGAAGGGGGCCTAGTTTGATTTGAAGAGATCCCAGGTGTGTGTGAGTGTGGCAGGGTCTGTCTGCTTCATCTGCAAAGAAATACACATGGCTAAATGTCCCCAGAAAGGCGGGAATGCGCGGTCACGTGACTACCCCCCCCCGCCCCAACACACCCTCCAGTGACTCTGGGAGGGGAGATTCAAGGTCTTCCAGGGGGGTCCTGGGCTTCCCAAATTGGCCTACCAGTGATTTCGATGCATGGAGGTTTTCTTGACCACAAAAGCAGCAAACTGTAGGTCTCGGAAGGAGGAAAGTGAAGGTTCCAGGTGAGGGAAACTGAGGTCCCAGGTGCAGGCCTGCAGAGAGGTAAAAAAAAAAAAAAGGCAGGTGTCCAATATACCCCCGGGTTGGTGCCCCCCGACCCCCCAAGCTGTGCACGTGTATCCCTGCCCCTCCAGATGTGACTACCAACTACCAGGGCATTGGGGTCGAAGTGCCCTGGGCTGTGCGTCCAGGCTGGGAGGCTCCTCCGCGGGTATGCTGGGTGCTGGTGCAAAGTAAGGGGGTGGCCGTCCCTTTGCCGACAAATTGCCCTGGCACCTAAGTGCCTTGGGGCCGTTCACCCTGCTGGCATCCTGAATGAGGCTCTGCCTTCCATCCCTAGACCTAGATGAGACTTTGTGGCCAAGAAAAGAGGTGAAGACCCCTCTCCAACCCGGACAGCTGAGGTGTCCGCGTTGCCGGGAGGGCCCGAGGTGGCCTGCAGGGTGGGCTAGGCTGGGCCACAGGGAGGGGTGTACCCCCACCACTGGTTTTGGCTTCTCGCTCGTGACAAATGCTTTCTCCGGGGGGTGCCCCTCTCGTGGCGGGGAGCCGCCAAAGAAGGGCTTTAAGAGCTCTCCTCTTTAAGTGCTAAAGAGAGATTCCTCCCTGAGTCCGTTTTTCCCTATCGTCCGCTTGGCATTTAATAATGTTAAGACTTATTAGAGCTGGTAATGAAAACTGGGAGTGCTGAATAGGAAACTGTGTTGGAGAGGGGTGTAATAGCTTCCAGGCATGGTAAGAAACTATTTATCCGCAATCAGTCCTCACTCTCAGAGTTTGAAGCACAAACGTTAAGTTGAAGGGTTTTAAAGCAGATTAAATTGAGCTTTTATTTCTGTGCACTTTCATCTCTGTACAGCTCACTCCTGCTCCCCTTGGGCTCATATTCATGAGTCTGTGCGCATTTTTTTTTTTTTTTTTTTGCTCTTATCCTTGTTCAGGCTGAGTTATTACGATTGTTGGTGGTAAGTCTCCCCAGATCGCTGCCGACGGCCGGGAGCGCTGGCCAGGCTCAGCTCCCTCACCCCTTTTCTCCAAGGATCAGGGTCCCCGGGGGGGGGGGGGGACACACAGAGGGGCCGGCGACCTGAAATGGGAAGGGTTCCAGGAGAAGAGGAAAGGAGGAAGGTTTATCAGAATCTGAGAGGGGAGAGTGCGGTGGGGAATTGGATAGGGGCTTGCAAAGGGTCAAATCGCTTCTCTGTAGGAGCCTGTGGCGGGAACGCGAGAAAGGCAGCAGTAATATAAATAACAATAGCAACACGCTAGGGACGCTAGGGACGCTGCGGCCTCCCAGCCCTCTACAATCCAAGTTGAAGCCCAAACTGACCAGATCAGAGGCCGGAGGCCCCCTCTTGGGTCTTTGGGATAGAAAGTCCTGTGGGGGCTAGAATTCAATATGGGAAAAAGTTGCGAGAGAGGAAGAGGAGGAGGAGGAGGGGGAGGAGGAGGAAGGTGGTGCTGGGTGTTAGAGACCAGTGCGAGAAATTTTCTGGATCTGAAGCTGACGTGGGGGAGGGGCGGCCAGGGAGGCCAATTTATTATTATTTTTTTTTCTGTACTTGTTCTCTGATCCTTTTTACAGTAGCAGCTGTACAGGTGTGGAAGGGAACTGACGGGGGGGGGGGGAGAGTGTGGCGGAGGGGTGGATGGAGAAGGAGGGAGAGCCCGAAGTGTGGGTTTTAGACACTTGTAAAAGGAGGTGGGAAACAATTTAATTTGGCAGGCCCGATAGCTGCTAATGCGGTTTTCGGTCCTTGGCTACACTGGAGGAAGCTGTTTTGATTGTGTGTACAAGGACCTGCCAAATTTAATTAGGCTCCGGGGAGCGAATGAATAGGGGGAGGGGGCACCGGCTCCCCTCAGCCTACACCGGGCTTTTTTGTTTTGTTTTGTTTATTTGTTTCCCGCCCACCTTCACACACCTGGAAGGGATGCAGTCTGGGCTAGGTGAGGAGGGGACGAGAGGGGAGGGGGCGCCGAGGGCCAGGGGACGCGGGAGGGGCCGTAGACCGTCCCTGGATCAAGGAGCAGTCTGCATTGATTTAAACCAACAAGTTCGCTCCTCTGTAAATGTGTGTTTAGAGAAAGGTAATTGACACTCTACCAAATCAAAGGATTACCCGGGGTTGGCAATCTAATCAAACAGAGCCCAGGCGGGATTTGAGGCTGTTCAGAGTGGGATCAGCTTCGCATAATGGGGGCTCCGAGGAAGAGGGGAGGGTGTCAGGCAATTCCCCCGGCTGCAGACAGCGCTCGGCGGCGAATCTGGAGTGAGAACCTGAGGGAGAAAGGGCGGAGGCGGGCGGGGGGCGTCCTGGCGGAAGGCCGCGGCGGGGGTTGGGGCGAGCGAGGCTGGGGCGGAGGGGTGGGGGCGCGTGTGGAGCCGGCTGGAGCCCCGACCAGGGGATCCCCGGCCAGGGCGTGCGTCCACCCGTGACCGACGAGGCTTCCCCCGGTTCTCCCTTGCGCCTCCTACCTCCCCACCCCCCAAACACTAGGGCCGCAGAGAAAGTGGAGATAGGGGGCGGAGGGAGCCGGGACGAACGAGGAGCAACAAAGGGGAGATAACTCGTGCAAAGCGCGGCGGCGGCGGCGCGCGCTCCGGGTCCCCGAACCCGCGGTAAACAAACAAAGTCGGCAAAGTGTTTGCCAGATAAACTCGCGCCTAAATCGAGTGTGACGGGCCAGGAGAGAAGAGACAGAGGGAGATAAGCTTGGAGGGAGGAATGAACGAGCGTAATCTAATAGAAGACATTTAGAAAACAAACTTTAAACAAGGGCGAACAGGCGAGCCCAGGGTAATTACCCGCCCCAGCGCGCGGGGGAAGCCGTCGCGGGGCTGGAAGGGGTACGCGGCTCCCGGAGGAGCTGCGCGGTGGTGGCGGGGCGCCTGGGGGACTCTGCGGGGAACCCGGCGAGGGTTCCAGGGGCGCGCGCGAGGAGAGGAGTTTGGCTCAGGAATGGGGGATGAGGCGCACGCAGCCCACCACGTCCCGGCGCGCGCGCGGCCCCGTCGAAGGAAGGCCGGCGGGGGGCTCCCGCCGCGAGGGCGCGCGGGTCCAGCGCTCGCCGCG